TATTCTATTCTATTCTATTCTATTCTATTCTATTCTATTCTATTCTACTCCGCTCTACTCTACCCTACCTTACCCTACCCTACTCCATTCCATTCCATTCTTATAGAGAGCCAGTTTGATGTAGTAGTTAAGCAGCTAGAAACAGAGACCGTGAGCAAGTGTATACGTCTTTCTCTTCCCTTCCCTAAAGCAGCCAACGACCCCTGCTTATCATCTAGGCAAGCAGGAAAGACCCTCAACCCCAAATCAGCCAGAAAAGCCACGTTTTTCCCCCCCACCAACTTTTGCCCTTGGTGAGCGGCTGGAAGAAAAGATCAGGAAGTCAGAAGCTTCTGGAAGAAAAGATCAGGAAGTCAGAAGCTTTTGCATCTGCTGCCACTGATCAACCTTGGTAAGTGAAAAAAAGAAAAATGCCTCCCGCTTTCCACGCAGTCCAATCTTTTGCGGTCTTATTTGTTTATATCATCACACCATGGCTTCATTGAAAGGACTTTAAGCGGTGTACAAACAAGGCTAAGGGTTTTGGCAACCCAACAGAACAGAAGAACAAAGTTGGAAAGGGACCTTGGAGGTCATCCAGTCCAGCCCCCCTCTACTCAAGCAGGAGACCCTCTACCATTTCAGACAAGTGGCTGTCCAGTCTCTCCTTGAAAACCTCCAGCGATGGGAAGATCTACAACTTCTGAAGGTGAGCTGCTGTTCCACAGATGGATTGTTCTCCCTGTCAGGCATTATTTCTTTTAATTCCAAGTTGCGTCTCTCCTTGACTAGTTTCCACCCGTTGCTTCTCGTCCTGCCCTTCCGGTGCTTTGGAGAATAGCTTGGCCCCCCTCTTCTTTGGGGCAGCCCCTCAGATATTGGAAGACCGCTGTTATGTCTCCCCTGGTCCTTCTTTTCTCTAGACCAGACATCCCCAATTCCTGCAACGGCTTTTGGTCGCTCTTTTTTTTCTGCATTCTTTTCCGAGTCTATACATCTTTTTTTGAAATAAGATCCCGCTTACACCCGCGCCGGCATCTTTGCAGCGAGCGATCTCTTCTCCCCAATTCCGTTTGACTTATTTGTCTATAGAGATCCTCAATCAACCAGCTTAAAGTCGCTTTTGAAAAAGGGTCGCTGGGATTTTGCTTTCCTCGGGGAATCCAGTTGCCTTTTTGAACAAAGCACCTTTTGAAACTTTTGACTTCCTTCTTTCAAGTGTTCTTGCGGCGAAGCCGCGGCAGCGGCTCCCGACCGACGGAGCTGCTTCTATTTTATTTTATTTTATTTTTTTAGGCAGAGAAGTGAGGTTTCTCTTCCCGCCCCGTCGGCTTCCCCGACCCCCATCCCCCACCCCCGTTACGGGGTCTCCCCCTTGTCTGCAACTGCGCCCACCCCGGAATCGGAATCGGAGGCCAGCAGCGCCGCTTCGTTTCTGAGCTCCCCCGAAGAGGGGATAACAGAAGAGTTGGAAGGGACCTTGGAGGTCATCTAGTCCAACCGCCCCCCGAATTTCTGACAGGTGGCAGTCCAGTCTCTTCTTGAAAGTTTCGATCGTGGAGGATCGCTTGGGAGACCGGCCGGGAAATATTCCCACGTCCCGTGGGCGGGGCGGGGGGCGAGGTTGGACTAGATGACCTACACGGTCCCTTCCAACTCTGTTAATCTGTTAAAAAAGAAAAAAAAGAGGTTGGGGTGGCAGCATCCATCCAGCTACACTTGGAGGACTCGGCCGAGGCATCGGGGCCCGCCTGCTCTCCCTCGCCCTGCCCTGCATCCAGGCGCCCCGATACCCCAAGCGGCTGCGAACGACCAGGAGACGCGTGTCGCTGACCCGGCTGGTGTTCCTTTCGCATTGAAACCGACCCGGGGCCGGCCAGAGAACGATCGCTGCCCTTTAGAGGCCCCCGCAGGAGACGCGACGGGGAAGCCGGCAGCCGCCGGGCGCCGGGGACAGAAATACGTACCTGGCGCCGGGAGCGTGGAAGGCAAAATTCCGCGTGGGAATCCGCCTCGTGGACCCCACTGAGATTGTAGCCTCCTGGGGGCAGAGCCCAGCCGGGCCCTTCAGGTCCTTGGCAGCGCCTGCATCTTCAGCCGCCGTGCCCGGCTTCTTAGAGACCCCCCACCCACCCCCAACCCCTTTTAAGCAAGTGCTGTCATTTTTCACACGGTCCTGAAACTCTGTAGCCGCCCAGCTAGATGGAGACGCCGCCTGTCCCTGCAACCTAGAAAAGGCAGCAAACCCGAGCCTTCACCCCTTCCGCTCGGAGGCCCTCTTAACACGCGGGCTTCTGCCGGGCTAAGAAAAAGAGAAACCCGCCAAAGGGGTGCGTGGAGGGGGGAGGGGGGAGTCCCACTCACAACCTTTGCAGGGCCAACCGGGTAGAGACATGGGAATGCCCCGGTCATGGGAATGATGAGAAGAAAGCTTGGAGTGTGTGTGGGGGGTGGGGGTGGAATAGGTCCCAGGAACCCCAAGTTCAAGTCATCTTCCTCCGGAGGGAGGGAGGAGAGGAGGGAAGGAAGGAAAAAGGAGGGGAAGGGAGAGGGAGGAAGGGGAGAAGAGGGGAGGAAAGGAGGTGGAAAAAAGGAAGGAAGGGGAAGGGAAGGGAGAGAGAGAAAGGAAGGAAAGAAGGGAGGGGAGAAGGGGAGGAGGAGGGAGGAAGGGGAGGGAGGAAGGAAAGGAGGGGGAGGAAGGAAGGAAGGAAGGAAGGCTTGGATTTGATAAGTTCATACTACCCTCTTAACCAGGACAGTTGAAAACCTGCTAAACTCAATTAATCACCACCATGGATTATTTTGTGTCTGCACATACGGTGTGAACTCAGGCTCTTTGTCGAGGCTTGTATGGCATAAACCCAGAAGACACATCACTTCAACAACCAGTATAAATGTAGTCACACTAAGACTGGACATCTCAGTGGGATGCCCAAAGAATCCAAAGCAATTGTGGCTTGTTTTCATTGTTCAGCTTCAGGGCTCTTTCCTATGTAAGTCACTTCTTATGTGCCAAGGGATATTTATGGCTGTGTCAATAAACCACAACTGGTGCCTTTCCTCCACCTTTGCACTAGGGACAAGCAAATGCTTGTCACACCCATTA